TATCATTGAGCTGACCGGCCCCAAGCAATTCATTAGTAGTTGGTTTTACTCGTCAAGTTCCATCATCTGGATTCGAACACAGGTCTGCATTTCAACAGTTCATGGGTGTGGTCCCCACTGAGCTAGGCTCTTGGGTCAGACCACCCATCTCAATAGCAGCTCCCAGCCTGTCCAGCGAAGTAACGCGCCTTGTGGGTTCGAGTCCTGCTAGCCGTACACTGGAAACGAAGAGCGATTTGTATGGTTGAGGACTTATTTTCACTTTTCCGGCACAATACTATGTATCTTTATTTATATCTTTAGTTAGCATGGTTTCTTACAAACAGTTCCTGCCGGTTGCCAGAGGGGAAGAGAAGGACCCCTTCCAATAGTGTCCAGACCACCCATCTCAATAGCAACGCCCCTATCGGAATAGGCGGATATACAATAGCGCTAAGTCGCTAACCCCCCGCGGTCTCTATTTGGCTGCACCACCACTTCTCAAGCCACTTTTCGCAGAAAAAAAGCGAAAAGTGGCTTCTCACACTCTCTGAAGTGTCTGCTGTGCCGGCCGTTTGAACTGATAAAGCGTCCGCTGATACCACATTGTCGAAAAAATAGCATTCGAGTTGTCGATCGAGCACCAACGCTCTAACAAAGAGGCTGACACCCTTGTGCATTACCCAAGGACGGAAAGCCTTTTTTACTGATCCTAGCACTTGCTGCGCATCTGTCAGCAACTGCGGAGCAAATGATATCCTATGGCCTGATAGCCTCTCTTGCTGTGCCCGTGTGACTACACGCAGCCCCCAATGATAGGGGAGGTCCACCCCCCGCGGGGTACCCGAAGCGAGGATTTAGACCAATTGACTCGCGCCTGCGAGAGATGGCAAAACATGGAAGGCCATCGTTTCATGCAGCGCCATGAATGCATCATCATCTGACAGGGGAGTGAACGCGGCATGGTAGATATTTTTTTTTCCGATTTTTTTTCGGAAATCTTTCCACATACCTTTCGCTATAAAAAAGTTATAAACCTATGTTATAGATAGATATAATTTTGAAGTTGTCTTTTTCAGTTGCTGCTTTTTTTGTCTACAGGGGAGAGGCTCCACCTCCTGCGTGAGGATGGCGGCCTTGCGGCCGCACAATCTGCTGTAAAATCTTTTCATTAGACTTGTATCTTTTTTTTCCTTTTTTTTGCCAAATTCTTTTCATTTGACTCGTACCTTCTTTTCTTTTTCTTTTCTTTTTCCTTTTTTTCGACCAAAAGGGCAAAACAGCCTTGAGTTGTTACCCTCGGTGTTGTTCGTATATCGTTGTAGCCACATCCGATCCGGTCTCCACACACAGACCGAATCAAACCGGTGACCTCCACCCACAACAGGTGGATGGACGCCTTTATCACTGCGTCTGCAACCCAGTTATGAAACTGGAGCCATACCAGTCAAGCATACTTGCAAGCGGACGCCGTCTGGGCAGTTCCGCACGTGCGGCAGACCGCCGGACCGGACCCGCACGGCGCACGAATGTGCGCCCGACGACCAGTTACGCCCCACCCCCCCAAAAAAAAAGAAAAAAACGCCCCCGTCCGGTCCAGTCCGGGTCCGTCTGGTCCGGGGGGAGGGTGCCGCACGCGGCAAAGCGGACCGGACCGGACACTCGTCCGGTCCGTCTGCTTGCAAGTATGCAGTCAAGACATCGTTGTAGCCACATCCGATCCGCACACAGACGGAATCAAACCGGTGACCTCACCCACAACAGGTGGATGGACACCTTTATCACTGCGTCTGCTACCCAGTGATCAAACTGGAGCCATACCAGTCACGACATCGTTGTAGACACATCTGATCCGCACACTGACCGAATCAAACCAGTGACCTCACCCACAACAGGCGGATGGACGCCTTTATCACTGCATCTGCAACCCAGTGATCAAACTGGAGCCATACTAATACCAGTCATGAATGACATCAGCCACCCCAGCACAGTCACAGCAAGCACTTACACCTCAGCAGTTGACATCTTGTCCGGCCGCGGACTATCTCGTCCGCATGTCAAGTGCTGACGAGTAATCCCTTGCTGCAACTGTGCCGGGCAGACGATCTCATGATTCTCATCCGCATACCAAGTGCTGACGAGTAAGTGCTTGCTGCAACTGTGCTGGGGCATGGCTTCTAGCCTAACACTGGGGGTAGCATGGGCTGTCATCAGCTCGTGTGCAGCGGCGAAGGCATCCGCCTGTTGTGGGCAAGGTCACCGGTTCGATTCCGTCTGGTTGTGAATCTGATGTGGGCTACAACGATAAACATACCGGCCCCTGTAATTCCAGAATGTAGTTCATCTTCGTTCCATCTGGATTCGATCTCCGGCCTGTATTCCAACAGTTGGTGCACCAGCTGAGCTAAGCCAGTTAGTGAGGGGGGGAAAAAAAAAAAAAAAAAGAAGAAGAAGAAGACTTGTATCTTTAGGCTTGGGCGCACATGGAATGGAGAGCAGGTGTTTTCAAAAACAAAAAGAAGGAAAAAAAAAAAAAAAGATCCCAACGCACTTCACAACGCACTCTCCTCGGGCGTGGTCCCGCTAGCAAAGCGGATCGGATCGAATGCCTGAATCTGGACGAGGTTATGGAGATGTGCAGGAAATCGAGATTGAACTGCTTTTCTGCATCTCTGCATAAAACACGTCCATATTCAGTAGCTCGATCCTATCCTTTTTGTTATTTTGTTAGTGGGACCTCGGCCCTCGTTTGACCCCGCTTTCTGTGTTGGTTGGGTCCGGGGGCGAGGTCCCACCATCAAAGAGGATTGGATGGAACACCTGAATCTGGATGCGTTTTAACCACAAATGCAGAAAAGCAGTTCAATCTCGCATTTGTGCACCTTTCCACAAACAAGTCCAGATTCAGGCTTTCAATCCAATCCTGTTTGCTGGTGGGACCTCGCCCCGGGTCGGGCGGTCTGTTGATTCTGTGTAGTTTTTAAAGACCCTGTCTCCGAATTGTCATATAGGTCGGTTCTTTTCTTCCGATTGGAATCCTTTTCTTTTTTTTTCTTTTTTTTTTTGGGGGGGGGGTTGGGGGTGGGGGGGTCCTTTCTTCAGTCCAACGGAACTCCACACAGGCCATTCTCACACGAGACTTCCAGGATGTATCTAGCTGACCTTGCGGTCAGGCCTGGGTGGACCTGACCGCAATCAGGTCCACAAACAAGTCGAAAAAGTCGTCGAGTGAGTACGTCCGCAGTATTATCACTCAGACACATAACACATACATAACATGAGGTAGTCTTCGCCCGAGCCCGAACAGAACGCATGGGCGTACTTGCGAATGTATCCTGCATCCCCCGGCGCACCCCCCCCTCCCCCCC